AAACTGAATTAATAGCGACTATTATAGCAGAAATGGAAAAGATTGAATTGTCAATAAATAAATACAACAAATCTGATTTTATTATTAAGAAAAATATATATTATCACTTTGAAAAACGTACGCAATCAGACTTTTTAACGGTATTACTTGGTCGTTGATGCAAAGGGCAAAGGTTATTGGTAATATCGACTATTCGTAAAATGGACGTTTGCTGGGTTTTTACCCATAATATTACAAATCATTTCTGACAACCAGACTAATGAGACTATTTCGATGCTGCTGTTAGCATTGTTGTAGTACGTTGTTGCCAGCCAGAAGATGATAATGGTGGTACAATACAACAACGGAGGCTTAGATGCCTACGTTACGTAATCGTGTCCTTGTAATCGGAGCCGACTTTACCGTTAAGCAAGTTAATTTACCGTTATTCTAGTAAAGTTAAGTCACTTAACTTAAGTGACTTAATTCCTTTATCTAGCTATAATTGAGTGGTTCAGGTCGAACTTTTAACTAGTTAAGTGGATCTATATCTAGATAAAAGTTCGACGTGAACCAGGCTTATGTATATTTCTTTATCTGAGAGCAGTTCCCCGGTTCAATTCCCATTGTTGCCTCTCCTTGTGTTTCAGCTAGAGGGCTGAAATACAAGTTACAATAGCGCACCGTCTTTTGGATGAGACGTTTAAGCTGTTGGTCCCGTGTGCATTATGGCCCATGTGTATGTTAAAGAACTCAGTACACTCTTCGGAAAAGAGTAGGGATTGTCTCCCGGTGTACTGTCCAATGACCACCAGAAGGCCCCCACTGGAAATAAGTCTTCTTCTAGACTTTTGTGGGCTATCCTTGGTGTTTACACCGAATAAATCCAATCTAATCCAATCTCCACCGAGCTGTGTAAAGTATGTACCTGTAAGGGTGCGTAAGATTTTAGGAAGAAATATGTCTAGTGTTATTTGAATAAGCGATTTGGGAAAGTCAACACATTATACACTAAAACGTCTTATTTACATAAAAAGATTCCTTTTGTTTCAATTATCAAGGATTTCAGTTTGCTTGTTAAGGAAATTTAAGAAAACATCGAATCATTTACACAAAGCCAAATTGAATTATAGTTTTCTGTGTATATTAATTATTATACAAAAAATGAATGTTTATGAGTGTAATGGGGAGAATATTTCCATGAGTAAAAAGACGGACTGTTCCATTCAAAGAGAGGTGGAGCCGAATCTTGATGCACTAACCTTACCACTTACTACAAAAGCTCCAATTATTTTGGTATTGAGTTTCTGTTTAGAAATAAAATAATTTTTTAACAATTTTAAACATAAATGATAAAAATGATGCATAAATGGTCTTTTTCATTAAAGATAGTTTCTAATGTCTTTTTCTCAAGAGAGTTTAAAGTTAAGTGCCAGAGGAAAACAATTTTTTGATATGATACAGATTATTGAATATTTAAAAACTGAGGAAAAAGGAGCAGAACCACCAATTTTTCCACCTTCCCCCCCCCCCCACAAGTTTTCAAATATTCAAAAATCTGTATCTGATTAACCGCTCATGAGATTTTCGTCAAACTTCCTTTTTAGTTCTTAGAAAAATCAGTTGTACAACATATCAAAACACTTTTTTTCTGCGGATACCTGACTTAAAATTAAATGCATCTTTTTTAAAAATGTACAATGTTGTTTCTTATTCCTGTAACATAAAATTCAATGATAGTGAAAATGTTACCTTTCAGAGTCTACAAAAAAAAAATTTTTGTAATTTAAAAAAAAAAAAATTATCAATCATCACATTATTTGCAGATGCATGTTTAAATTATGGTTTACTATTCTTAGATTGATGTTCTTTACTTGTGAACTGTTTTGCATCACAATTTGCGCAAATGACTGTGTTTATATAACAGGAAAACCGTGGATTATCTGAGTATAGGCAACCAGACATGCACTGCAGTACCAAATTTAATGTAAAGTTCACAGAGGCTTTACATTGATTACATTACAATCCCCTTGTTATACAAACGCAAATAATAATATTACTTCCATTGGCAAACCAATCTTTGTGACCCTGTTAGCTTTATAAGAGTATTATATTATTATTATTATTACTATTTATTATTATTGCTATTTATTATGGTTGTTGTCATCATCATTAATTTTAGATGTATTATTATTATTACTTAATTATACGATGGGATTATATTTTTCAGCTGGTATGCTTGTCCGATCAGAGGCCTTGCCGTCCCCACCTCAACTCTCATCCGGTGCTCGGAGGTCATTTTTCTGTCGTATGCGAAAGGTCAATGAACAAACTGTGAAATCAGAAGCGCCGACCCCACAGAATTCAAAGAAACGGGTAAAACACAGTCAAGGTATGTAGAAGAGTGAGTCTCATTAAAATATTATTCTTTAATCCTATCTCCCATCACAAATTCCCCTTCCCAAGATATTTTCATTTCCTGGTCTTTCTCCTTTCCAGGGTTGAATGTCTTGTCTTTTTTTCCATACTCTTACCTCATTTTCACAATTGCCTTGCACTTAACCCAATTTCCTGTAATCTTAAATCCATAAACATGCATTATATCCGAGTAAAACAATATCGTTGTTTGTGTACTGTATTTGCATATGGTTCATAGCATGTTGCTAGTTTCATTTCTGTGTAATATAAATGGATTACACACATCGAGATATATGTTGTCGCAGTAAAGAATTACATTTAATAAGTATGTTTCTGTAAAACTTAAGTGTCTGGCCATTCTGCCATTTATTTTTGTTAACTGCAAGACATTGTAGTGTGGAGAAGGATTTTAACTACAAAAACATTTCGAACGCTACTTTACGAGCAAATAGGGATTGAAGTTAATGATGGGATGTTAAATTATACTGTAGTCTATTGTAGATATTCCATAATCTGTCACTTACATTCGATACTATAAAGTTTAGAAAAATTAATGATACTGGCTGTCAAAACAACGATAATAAATACAAACCAAATTTTGAAAAGCTTATTTTTAAAGATCAAATAAGTGAACCAGAAACAGATAAAAAAAATATATTTTTAGCTGAGTTACAGATGTGTTACAAAATACTTTAAAGGTATTATTTATATGTAAGTTAACTAATGCAGAAATAGACAATTTAGAAATATACAAATAAAGGAATTGATATATGAAAATTTAATTTTTTGAATATTTTTTAACTCGTAACAGACAGTATATCGTTAATAATTTTATTCTGAAATTCATTTGGATCTTAAAATAGTATGGTACATTGATATGTTGCTTTCTTTTTTTTATCTAAGGGACCCTTAGGCGTGAAGAAAGTCAATGATCATGTTCCTAGTCCA